CCRGGCTCGGRYCRGGCTATTTTGACAAAACCCGAGCCCGGCTCGAATTTATTGCGGGCTGGGCTTTTTGACCCGAATTTAAGTCCGTGGGCCTATAACCACATTCAAACCCGTCCGGGGGTCGGGCTGGGCCAGCCCGTCGGGCCACCTGGCCTGCCCATGAACAGGTCTAGTCCAAGCAATAATAGACTTTGGATGGCTTTGGGCTTTTTTCATGATTTGGCTTTTGGGTATCTCAATATGCTCTCAATCTCTCTATTTGACCTCTTCACAGGCCAGGCTGTGTCAAATTCGGGTCAGGCTTTGTCTCTGTATTAACATAATACATTCAAGCCTGAGCTCGAACGCAACCTAACCATCGCACCTAGATCTTAAACTTGAACTTGAACCTCATACAAATAGGCTGGATGCAAATCAGTTTAAAACCTATACAAATGGAATTCAAACTGGTACAATTAAAATGTAAATGGACAGGTTCAATCTGATCCAAATTGAATGAAACATAGAAAAATATATGAAAAAATATATAAAAATTAAAGAAGTATATTAAATTTTTTACAAAAATATAAAAATACATCAAAACAAAATCAATTTCCATAATTAACCATGTTTTTCAACGAATCCAAAGCTTCTACAATAAATTCTTCCTTATAAAACCAGATGCGTCTTAAAAGAGCGGTAAGATGCGACAAATCTTAAAAGAGTAAGAAAAAGATTAATTGAAGTTGAAAATGGGATTCAATGACAGTTTCAGTTACAGAAAATAAACATTGTTAACCAAAATTGGATATGAACCAACCATAATTCTTAAATCTACAAATAGATCAAATCCACAAAAGAAGTGAAGAAAAATTAACCAAAGGAACTTCAATACAATTAAACTGAATGAATTTCAAAGTTGTAAAACTAAGAATAGAAAAAAAAAAATAGAGAAGCAGAGGAAAAATTATATAATCAATAAATCGATTAGTTGAATAGAGAGGAAGTAAACCATGCCTTGATTAGTTGAATAGAGAGAGAGAATGTCTTAATATGCCGTCGGTTAAAGAGAGAGATCGTCTGAAAACGCTCTCTGATGCCTTAATATGCCAGGTAAAGGTGTAAAACGGGCCATGTTAGGCTGGAATATGGGTCAAGTCTTGGGTCAGGCCAGGCCGTGGATCAGGCTAAATCTATTTATTTAAAAATTTTGTAAAAAAAATTAAAACTTTCACTTTATTTGAATTTTGATGTATACAATTACTTATATATACAATAATTAAATAAAATAGTATAATAATATTGAAAATAATTGTTTATTTTATTAATATATTAAATACTATATATTAACGGTCTATGTTCAAGGTTTTTAAAATTGGACCGGATAGAGAACTGTTTTGGGTCTGATTCCCGGGTTGAACGGTCCAACCATCCGGTCCAAATAGACAGTCTACTCTGACAGAAAAATAAAAAATAACCAAAAGTCATTATCCAGATCAAAGGTTCGACGGTTTGATTGCACAAGTCAGCAGTTTGCTGGCCAAATCAACGATTTTTGGCCAAAACTAGTTTTGGGGTGACCAATTTCCGATTTTTCCGATCCAATCATCCGGTCTGAACCGGTTTTGAAAACCATGGGTCTGTTCAGTACAATCAAATGCCACATGGGTTGGTAATTGGCCGATCATTCCTATTCTACTGTTCTGGCACTTACAGGAGGAGGCCTATTTAGGTCATGAAATAAAAATACAAGCCTGGCCCAAGATTAAAGCTAGGTTTGTAGACTCTACTTAAGAATAGTATCACAACAGGAGATGCTCCATTGGGGATAAAAAAAAAAACCTGTATGGATAAAAAAAATTGGGCT